CCCCCTCCTATCCGCTGCTCCGCCCCGCTACGCTACCCTACGCCCTGCTATTCCCATGCTTTGATATACCTACCAAGATACCTACTGTATAATTTGCCCTCACGCCAATGATGAAATGAAGAATGTCAAATCTATATGTTGCCCGGCGATTGTTGCTGCGAAAAAAAAAATGAATTGGGGCGGGGACAAGGATGAGGCAGGCGCGGCGCCAAGTGAAAGAAGCGCGTGGTGCGGTGACGTCGTCAGCAATCAGATTGCGGTAGCCGAGTGGTGTGGGTCCGCGGGCCGGGAGCCGAGAGTTGTGGAGCCACGCCGCAGGTGAATCTGATTGATGTGATTGAGGCGTGCGGCGGGCGTGGGATGGGATAGGGAGGCGATGGCGGAACCGGGTTCACATGCCAGGTGTGGCACGTATCGGTGTAGGGAAAGAGATCCCGCGTCGGAAGAATCCGGATCGGGTGGGAGGGCGGAATATGCATGGGTTGGCGATCGGTACGAGAGAAGAGGAAGTTACTTTGTTCGACAGAGGAGAAGTGGGAAGAAGTGGGAATCGAAGCACTGCAAGGGTGACAGTGAAACCGGTGAAGGGAAGAAGGGGAGGGACCACAGAAGTGTTGACAGAATCAACTCGCAGTCGAACTTTAACTTTGGAAGTTGAACCAAAGTTGAAGAATTTCTTGCAATTGGCTGCTTGAGGGGCTTTGGGGCGATATAAGTAACTTCTTAGATGGCGATATAGGCGGGACTTGGTAAAATTACCTTGAACTTGAACTGGGATTCCGACGATTACTCGTCGCGTTGGCGGGTTAATGCTGAGTCTGGCCGCGATTCACCTCGAACTGGCAGGAACCGTTGATGGCATTCCCAAACTACAGTAAAACTTAGATTGATGCTCCTGGAGCGACGACCACGGCGTATGCGGCCGACTTTGGTTCTACATGCTCGAAATCTTGGTTGGAATTTGGAGGCAGCGTACGCCAGTCTTGATTTTCGTTTTGATGTCCGGATTCCTTCCGGACCTTCACGGCCATTAATATTCCTGGTTACAACCCGGGATCATGGCATGATTTTTCTGGGCACAACGCCAGTCCCGGACCCCGAGACCTATAATCTGGTTCAATTCGAAATTTCAACCTACGCTGTAAAAGGATTTGAAAGAAACAGGACGTAGATGTACAGCAACCTACTCAACTGACAATAGAGAATACCTCTGTTTTGCCTTTGCACCTCACTAGTATCGGAGCGGCTCACAAATGCTATAACGTTGCGAAATTGGTGGTAATACTGCGGCCTGACCTCGTAGGCGCCAGCTCTATCCTTAGGAACTAGCGCTTTACCTCGAGGCCTCAGCGAGGTCAATCCACAACCACCATGTTCGCAGACCGCCTCGAACTCGACTTTGCGCCCAACGACGATTGTCCCCTGTTTCGAGGGTATCGCAAGAGCCACAGGTTCTTGCGGGACACAGTAGCGGAGTACAGCGAGAACCCTCCGCACATCACCTTGATGCTGGGCGCTTTCTACGACCCGCGGGGCGAGCTGCTCCAGACCATTGGGGACCTCTGCGCTCAACAGCCTCCGCTCGAATTCGATCTCATCCTGGAGTACAAGCCGAAAGTAGGAGTCTGGGCGGCCGTTGACGACGGTGAAGACGAAATGCGTGCTTTGCGCGCCGACGTGATGGCTGAGTTCGTCGTCCTCTGGCTTACTTCCTTCTAGCACATCACTTACGCACTTTTAGACTCTGCGCCGATGAATACAGCCAACGCCCCACCTGGGCGTCGGGAGTGCATTGGAGCCCGCATGTCACGCTCTATCGCCGTGATCACGGAGAGCGCTCATCTTTAAAGGTCAAGCAGGAGATTGCGAGAGACCTGGCGATGCAATTTCAGGGTCCTCTAGTAGGTTATGCGACCGGGGCGTCGCTCTGGCTGGGAGATGAGTGGGTGGACAGTTTTCCTTTCTTAGGAGAGAGGGAAGACTCGGAGGTGAGTGGTTTGTTAGCTCAGAAAAAAAGTAGAAAGGTGATTGGCCGCCAGGAGTCCGAGTGGGAGTAATACAAGCGATATATTCTCTTCATGCCCGAGACAATGATATGTGTTGCGATTTATTCTGAACAAAGTAGTTGGTCTTCGAGATGAAAGTTGATAATCGACGGGTTAATTTTCGAACGACGCCTTGATAAGATCTGCTGCTCGTTCCGCGAAGATATAAACAGCTGCCTGTGTATGCGCCGAAGGAATAAAGGGCTATAGCGCATCATCAGCACTTTCCTGCAAATCGGAAATGAACCCATACGAAAACTGACGCGTCCACGATGCGCAGTCCGCCGAGCCCTTTGACGGTCAGGTCGGGATCCACCACCCCGTACTCCGCGCCTCTGGCCGACATGGCCGCTGTCCCCACGGGATGGTCCAAAGTGCCCGTATGGCTGCGGATGAACGCGTCCAGCTCGGCATCGGTGGCGGTGGTGTTGACGCTGATTGGGGAGATGATGTAGTCCGTCCACGTTGGAGCTTGGACGAAGCGCTGTACGCTGCGTACGGCTTCGCGCAGGACGAGGATGTCGAGGGTAGACCCGAGCAGGTTCGGGTTTATTATCGGCGGGTCGAATGGATTCGAGCTGTTCAGCGTAAGAGAGCCACCTGAAGACCTGGTAAATTCTCAACATCCGAAAGTATTAGAACAACTCACGGGATGTCGGCGATACACCACCAACTGAGATTGTAAAATAATTTCCAGGAGGGGGTGTGCCAACTATGCCGTTCTAGAGGGTAATCACTTCTCAGAACCCGTATAAGACGCAGATGATAAAACAAACCGCGAATAACAACTCGAAATGCGCACTCAGCGGCCCTGCAGATGGATCAGGGAAATGCTGAAGTATGGTCGAGTTTTCGGGGAGCCTCAACCACCCGAGCTGGCTCGATACAGAATCGACGAGGGGGCCAGTCCGAGTTGTGTTCCACTGCTCAAGTTCTTCCGCAGCAAGGGTTGCATTCCTTTCTGCATTATCGAACGTCTTTGTCGAATTAACCAGCCAAGATACCCTCAGAAGGGAGTGGTCGGTGAGGTTCTGCCCAACCGAAGGGAGATTGTGCACCGGCGCGATTCCCAGAGACGCCAAACTGTGGGAGTCACCAATCCCGGAATGCATTAAAATATGCGGCGTTCCGATGCTACCGGCGGAGAGAATAACTTCTTTCCTGGCAGTTACGCGGAATCTAGAAGCTCCTGCGTCTTGGGTTGACCAAAGGTCCAAAGGAAAGACGCAAATCACGAACCTCCCGCACTCGAGGCAAATTCGACCGTCTGGAACGAGGGTTTGCGGCCAGCCTGGCCGCTTTTCAGAATGCGTGTGACCCTCGTGTTCAACATGACGTGCAAGTTGGAGCGACCGATATATTGTGGCGCCATGTAAGATGTGGCAGAACTGCTTCTCGAGCCGTTCCTGATAGTCGACTGCGTCCACCCTGAGGTAACCATTGAGTATGAGGGTCCCAAGAGCGTGGATAGATGGTACCAATCCCGAGTGGCGCCCCAGAATTCATGTCAATATTGAAAGGGAATTCGTGGCTCAAGTCCGAGGTCGCTTGGAATACCCGCGCGTCGGTGTCCCGAGAAAACCCAGCCATACTGACGGTATTGATTCCATCGAAGCCGTGAACAGCGGGATTGAACTTTTCTGTGGTATTTTGATCGACGGGTGGGCTAAATCGTTCGTTCTAAGATTCGGGTTATCTCGACGCGTCTCCGAGGTATTCGAAAGACCAACATTTCGCATGTATGGGATGAGGTTGTCCCAGGACCATCCTTCGTCTCCGGAGACCCGCGCAAAACGGTCGTAATCGTCCTTCGATCCACGAGTATAGGCCATGGAGTCTCAATGTCACAATTAAGTTTGCTGTAGAAAAGTCGGACGAATGCGAACTTACTAACGGAACTACTCCCGCCCAAAACGAATCCCCGAGGATATGAGATAGATCTCCCATTCAGCCCGGTCTGAGATGTCGTCGAATAGTTCCAGTCCTGAGCCGTGTTTGGCGTCGCGCGAGTGGAGTAGAATGGGACTATAATATCGAGAACATTCTCATTCCTGTACAATGTTCAACGGAAAACCAAGGGAGTGAAACACTGACGTACGAGCCACCTGCTTCTAGAACAAGCACGGAGTGGTGTTGGTTTTCAGACAAACGATTCGCAATGACGTTCCCAGCGGTACCGCCTTCAAAGGAACACGAATGAGCCAGCTGGTAGCAAAGGCGGGATGCAGCAGTGGGCCCTCACCTCCGACTACTACGAAATCGAAGCTGACGTTCAGCGCTGACAAGTCTGTCGCCTTGTTTAAGATGAGCGCGAAGGACCCGGTGCAGCCCAGCCCCAACGCGATCCAGATGAGCTTGGGATTCATTGAATGGCCAGCGAGTGCGATGGAGTCGAGTCAAGAGTGTCTCGCTGACGATAGCCCGTTCTTTGCCGTGCCAAATACGTAATGAGACAGTCAGACTGAGCCAGTTCTTCATGACTCCGAGCGATTCCACAGGATGTGGTAAGGCGGGACCTGGCGGGTCTCCGCGGAACCCGGCGCTGCCGGCATACAATCAACAAGGGAAGGATGCTCGCGCCTACCAGGATGGGTATGCTAATTGACCTCTCAAGACCTTTGGGGTTTGGGAGCAAGTCTGGAGTGAAGGGTTCGGAAAAGTTCGGAGAAGTTTGGAAACTTCCGGTCGCATTCAAGTCGCATTCCCGATTTACATGGAGCACAACCACTTCCCACGGAGTTGACGGGCGATCAATTCGATCAAAATCGGTTAGGTTCCGGCTACAGATTTTCTGCTGGCCCTGTATACTCTACGATTTTGCTACTACATGTGGGGATACTAGGCACAGCTACCCTTATTTCGAGGGAATTGGGACCCAACTACGGCCACCAGATTTTTTGCAGACGTAGGCACTTTCCTACCTCCACACCTCCTCCTCTTCCTTATTCTTCTCACTCCCTCTTAGCTCAGTTGGTAGAGCGCGTCACTAGTACATCTGCGTATGACGAGGTCAGTCGTTCAAATCGGCTAGCGGGAATCTTTTTGGTTTGTTGGCAGCGCCCAGCTGCATGGGCGAGAACAAAAAAAAAAGGAAAGGGAAAAATAAAACCCGCGGCTCCAATTCCGTCTGATTTGATAGCTTCGGGCACTGTGTCTTGCCGGAGGCGTTATCCTATGATATCATATGATCAAAGTTCAACCGAATGGCTCGATCAAGATTTCATCGTAAAGATTTGGCAAAGATTCCTCGTAATTTTCGAATGCGCCGCCGCACCATTATTCATGGCTCTCCTACGTGCTCTCCTTCTTGGTCATGGTTCAATTGGACTCCGTCCGGAAACATTCGGCGACCTTCCGGGACCTTCCGCCATACACACTTACCAACATTTTGTCAGGGATTTCTTTGAGCCTGTTCTGTCACTAAGCAGGCACTCTTGATAACTCAGCCATCTGCGCGACTGCTTCCGTCGACAGATAAAAAGACCGGCGCGTGGAGTGCATGATCGATCCAACTTGAACTTTTTCTCTTCTCCCCCTCTTACAAAATGAGCGTCGAATCCACCGTATTCAAGGGGTCTGCCAACGAGGGTATCGTCGAGAGCAAGACGCACTATGACGCGCCGACGGGAAACCAGGTCCTCCTCAAAATTACGCACTCCGGGATATGTGGTACCGACGAGCACTTCAAGCATGCGGACATGGTATTGGGGCACGAGGGCGTTGGGACAGTCAAACAGGTCGGGGAGAGTGTGAGGGGGTTGAAGGTCGGGGACATCGTAGGCTGGGGTTACACGCACAAGACGTGCGGTATCTGCGAGCAGTGCTTGACCGGTGCGTCCCGACTGCCTAGACACTCGAACCATCGCTGACGGCGCGGCTTCAGGCCAAGACCAATATTGCACCGAAAGGGAACAGTACGGGATGCACAACCACCACCAAGGCTCTTTCGCCTCGCACGCCATCTGGGATGCCTCCTTCCTCTTCAAGGTTCCCGCCGGTCTCGCGCCGGAGCACGCCGCCCCGCTCATGTGCGGCGGCGCGACCGTCTTCGAGGTGATCGAGACGTACAACATACGCCCTACGGACCGCGTGGGCGTCGTCGGGATCGGCGGCCTGGGGCATCTGGCGATCATGTTTCTCGCCAAAATGGGCGCCAGTGTCGTGGTATTCTCGAGCACGGAGTCAAAGCGCGAGGAAGCGCTCCGCCTCGGCGCTACAGAATTCTACGCAACGAGCGGCGTCACCAAGTTCGAGGCGTGTGAGCCGCTCGACCACCTGCTCGTCACCACGAGCTTTATGCCCGATTGGAACCCGTGCGTATCTTCTCGCCTTTCGCCGCCGCCGACAACTGACGACGCCGCATAGATATCTCAGCGTCATGAAGCCGAAGAGCACCGTATACCCACTGACCGTCAGCTCCGGCGACCTCGTTATACCTAATTTACCAGTCGTCGTAGGGGGCATAACCATTCAAGGCTCGGCCGTCGCCGCCCGCTCCGTGCACAAGAAGATGCTCGATTTCGCGGCACGGCATCACATTGAACCGGTCATCGAGCGGTTCCCGTTGACGAAGAGCGGGGTGGAGGACGGCATGTCGCGGTTGCGTGAGGGGAAGGTACGGTACAGAGCGGTCCTCGTTGCCGCCTAGAATAGAGTCTAGACCAGGGTTCAGCTAGAGCTGGGTAGAGCCGCGGTATATTAATTGTAGACAAGAATGACTGTTTTGGCTGGGGAATATGAACCTAGCCTGCGTTTTTGGTCTTGGTGGTGTGTGGAATGGGTGTTTGGTCACCGTTCAACTTTGGTGCACAAATAACGCGTCGGCTACTTCGGTACCCGGGTGCCGGCAACCGCGTCGCCTTGAGCGGCCGCCAGTCCTCTGTACCACGGCTCGAAGCTCACCTGCGCAACCTTCCATCGATTGCAAGTCCACCCTGTGTTCACCACACTAAAATTGTGCCCGCCCTGAGCGAAACAGCGAACGCAGCAAGCAGCATTGAAGTTTGAACCTATCGTCATCCCTTGGTCATCCCTTAAACCCCTCTCACAAACCACCATGGCCATAGAGTTCACCACTTTCAAGGGCTCGGACCAGGGAATTGTTCAAGCCACAAGCCGCCTCGACGGCCCCACAGGGAACCAGGTCCTCGTCGAAATCACGCACTCTGGCATATGCGGCACCGACGAGCAATTCAAGCATTCCGACATGGTGCTGGGCCACGAGGGGGTCGGAACGGTGTCGGAGCTCGGGGATTCCGTCACCGGACTGCAGATTGGCGATGTGGTTGGGTGGGGTTACACGCACAAGACGTGCGGGACCTGTGAGGAATGTTTACTCGGTGAGTTCGCCGCGTTGTGATTCAGCGCAGTGCCCGTTGCTCATCCTTCACCCAACTCTGCAGGCAAAAACCAGTATTGCCCGACCCGAGAGCAGTGCGCTCTGTTCATGTCCTATTTGCAGTCGCTGACGGCGCAACAGGTATGGCGTCCACAACCTCCACCAGGGCTCCTTCGGCTCGCACGCCGTTTGGGACGCCTCCTTCCTCTTCAAGATCCCGGAGGGGCTTGCCCCAGAGGACGCCGCTCCGCTCATGTGCGGCGGAGCCACCGTATACGGCGTAATTGAATCCTACAACATCCGGCCCTTCGACCGTGTCGGCGTCGTGGGCATCGGCGGCCTGGGGCACATTGCTGAATTAGGCTGGACCGCCGCAAGCACAGGTACAGAATATAATATATCACTTGAAGCATACCTGTGAATTTATGGTGACAGTGGAAGGGCTGTCCCCGTTGCGCCAAGTGGTATCCGAGTCGTGCCATGTATTGCTGGCTCGGGTCGGGCTCAGGCTGTACAGCACAGCCACTGCAATTACCTCCTATCGATTTCTTTAGCCGGAAGAGAACTCCCCAATAACAGAAGGCATTGAATGCCTACCACGATGATATTCCACAAATTCCGAGGATTGGAAGGAAGCCGGTGATTTCATCTCCTTTGAAATTGTCGATGGTACGATTTGACACGGCAGAGATGCACCCTTGCAGGTTTGCCAAAGCGCATATTCCGAGGAAGGCTGAGGAGGAACGGCAAATCATCTTGAAAGATTCATTTGCCCGCCTGGTCCTTTTGTATCCCTATGCAAAGAATACATATCAGCGGGAAAGGTACTTCTCGTAGCTATCCGGGTGGGGGGAGGGTGCAGATTGGAGTCGAGACAGGACCTCTGTGTTTTATATAGGATCCAAATAGAATTACAGACGGCCCACGGCACTCCCTCCCACTCCGGAGTGGAAGACAACAGTGACTAGCCGTTATCTCGGGAGATACTAGAACTTAGAAGCAGGAAGTCCGGAGGGAATAAACGAGAAGACCGTTCTGAGATGTGAGCTCGGATGGGAACCCACCAAAAAAAAACCTACCGTGCGATGGGAAAGACGCCGCGTCCCGGGAAAGAAGTTCAGTTGGTCTGATGATCTTATGTGCACAGTTAATTCGGACTGCCAGCGTAACTCGATTCATGGGTAAATCCGTGGTCTGCGAGTGTAATGACATACTCGATGGTTGAGTACTATATATCCCCCTCCTCGTCCTCGTCGAAAAATAAGTCACTCGGGCGGATCGAAAACAGAAACTCCCCCTGCGACTGAAGCCCGTCCAATTGTGCTTCCACCGCCGGGTCAAACTCGCGCTGATGCCCAGGATACCACTCCATCTCGACCTCAAACGGCCCGTGCTCATTTCGTCCTGGTTTCAACCGCGAAAGCACAAAATCGCGGTAAGTCGTGTCGTCGAATTGGAGGAGTGTGTGGCATCCGAAATAACTGAGCCCGGGGACCAAACATGTGGGATCAGGCGACCAACTGAGCCGGTGCAAAAGCGAGTCGGTGAGGAGGATGTGATCCGCCCCTTCGTCGTCTATGTTCTTGTGATCCCAAATAATTAAATCCCGTAATGATTGCAGTCCGGACAAGGTTTGGACGAGTTCGGTTTCGCTGATGAGGACCTGATAGAGATCAAGACAGATGAGATGGGAATGAAAGGAAGACCGTCGGGAGAGGGATGCGAATGCAAAATGGGGCCACGGCACAGTGCAATCCAGTCCTTGTTCAAATCGGAGGGCGAAGAGAGAGGGCAATGTGAGATGTGAGAGTATGTGGGATAAGATTTCTTTGCCACGCTCTGTACCGAAATTGCGCAGAGAATTGAGTGTGAGGGACCAGAGGTCAGACGTCACCAGGGGGGGGTTAGCCATGGGTCCACCGGTGCCCGAGTACACCAGCAACCGAAGGTGGAGTTCACTCTGGGCAGCGGAAAGGCGTTTCATGAGCATAAGAACCTGGTCCAAATCCTCCGGTAGCACGTCAAAATAGTGGAGCGACCGCAACTGCTCCAACGGCAGCTGGGACAAGGCCGCAGGGGGCCCACGAAACTCAACCTCCGTCAGTCGGGGTGCCACGTGAAAGAATGCGGTTACTTCGGACGCCATGTGAGGGTAACTCCCAATAATCTTCAGTTTCTGCAGCAGCGGAAGGTTGCCCCTTAGAGCGGAAATTTCCTTTAGGCAAGAAAACCCCATCGCGAAAGATGCCTCCTTCCACTGTTGGGAATGCTGCGCAAGGAGTTCCAAAGGACCGGGGTGGTAACAGATTGGCCCTGGACAATGAGCGCGCACTTCCAAGGGGGAATTCATTCCACGATCGAGTGAAGATCGCAAAAGATCCATCATCTGAGATGCCTCCAGGCCGGACCACAAGCGTAGATTAAGGGTTATGTTGGACCACAACACGGGGGTTCCCATGATGAGTTGATGCCAGCGGCGGCAGACTTGCGCCAACTGGATAAGGTCCATTTTTGCCGCCCGTCCCATCTCTTCTGCCACTGACATCGAAGGAGCCAGTGGACCCTCGGAATGTGGTGAGCACAAGGCGAATATTTCGATCAGGATTTCTGCGGGGAGTCGGCGGATCGGGGAAAGGATGTAACGGCACAGACGCGTGTAGTCTTCAATGGCTGCACGATCCAGCTCCGCCCGGGCGAGA